GCATGCTCGGCGTGTCGCACCGACTCGGTGGCTGAGATTGAAGCTCCCAAGCGCCAGCCGCTCTTTCTCGGCTCTTGGGGGTTTAGTACCTTCACCTGAAGAGCGATGGCACTTATTACCACCCCCCCTCCCTCCTTCAGTGTACTGCTGAGACTTTCTTTGGGGTTAAGCAAGACGTTGGTGTGAGTTTAACCTCTCTCTTATGAGGAAGAGGCAGAAGGCGGTGAGGGTGATTCTCGTGAGCACCTCATGTTTCAATGTTGACCTACAAAAAAACTAGAACTCTTGGTTCTAAAATGATACCTTTTATTAGACCAACTGGAAAATGTACACGTGCAGATTAGTGGCTCACTTCCTTTGGCAGGTGCCTGAGAGCCCCACCGGGTCACGGGTGGAGCTGGGCAGCACCTGGGCCTGCTGCAGTACTGCTGAGGGCCTCGGCGCAGGCACCAGCCCTCGCGCTCCTGCTCAGAGGGCAGTCAGTTTGGGGAGGGGGTCTGGGTCTGATCTATGACAACCCGAATGGGGAGAGCCCTGCCAAGAAAGGCTTGTCAAGACTACAGTGTCCCTGTGGCTGGAGCGATTTTTGGCAGAACCTCCTCGGCACAGATGTAGTTGCACATCTAACTTCTGCTAGTTTAGCTAAGGGGGCTAAAAAGTGTGATCTTTTTCACACCTGAGTATCCTGGCAAAACTTCACTAGTGTGAAGTAGACCAAGTCCTTTAAGTATGATGTGAGATGACAATCTTCCGGCTTTTTTAAATTCAGCTGCCTTCTGCTTGACTTCAGACTCACTTGGCTAACTGCCTATCTGAAAATTATGGGCTAAGATGAAATGTTTTTAAATTCTGAATTTTTCTTGGACAGCAAGATGATGCAGCGTATATATAAGCCATATTACATTTAGTGGCACTGCACTACCACTTATTACTATTATTTCATTTGGGGGAAGGTGTTCTTCGATTCAGTGGCCTCCGAGCTAGTTCTTACAAGCAATAGTTTCTGTGCCAGAACTTGGAAAAAGCTGCTTGAGATTAAACTTTTTGTTTTGTTCATTGCTGAGATTGTTAACCACACTGGTTTGATTTACAGCTTCCTCATGGCAGCAGGTTCTAAATCTTGTCTTCATCTACAGTCTTTATTCTCTTCTGAAAACCCAGTGCAGCCTTGTTGGCAGCTATGGTAAAATGGGTCAGAAACCTCGGTATGTGAACTCTTCCATTATAGTTCTTCCATCTTGTAAATCCACCTCCTCAAATTAGGAAGTAGAGGCAGACTTCAGGGAGATAGGGAATAAAGGCTGCAGTGACTGATTGATACATGCCCTCTGCTGCAATTTACAGAGCTACTTCTGGAACTTGCAAAAGTTGGTGGGGGTGGGGTGGGGAGGAAAGGATCTAAATGAAGCGTTCAGTAATGTGCAGTAGACACATGCCTCCTTTATTCAGCAGCAGTAATAGGAAGGCCTATGCAAAGAAAGCAGAAACATAGAAAAAGCAGGATATGAGTTACCACAGCTCTACTGTTGCTGTTGACTCTGAACAGGTAGGCTGTAGATTCTGCTTTCGGAAACACTTTGAAGTGTAAAGTGTAGCTAACTGATTTTGTATGACAGCATCAAGTCAGAAGCCAAGCCAGTTTTTAATCTATTTATCTAAGCACCTGTGTGAGCAGAGATTTTTCCACTTCCCACGGAAAAACAAAGTAAAACACAGATTTTCCCCTTTACTGGAGGAAAATGAAGATTTCTCATTTTAGCAGAAAAAACAGTGGATTTTGCTATCTTGCAGTGAGCCCTCTGCAGGCTGACAGACTTCCAGCTTGCAGGGGGCTGGGAGGGAGCAGGAGAAGGGCAGTCAGGCACGGGGGACCACAGGCATGAAAATGCCCATGGCCCCAGGCAGCCTGGAGAACAGCTTCCACAGGTAAGTGGGGGCAGGGCAGAGGGGATTGAGGCCCCCCTAGGAAGGGAAGGAGTTGGACAGGACTGGGGATGCTGCTGCCCAGCTGTGTGGTGTGCAGGCCTTGGGGCCTGGGGCCACAGGACCCGGCAGGGAGCAGGACGGCTGCTGGTGGCTCATTCCAGGGGTGGGGAAGGGGTAGGGCCAGCTCCCTGCCTCTGTGCATACTCCTGGGGTGAGGGGGAGACCCGTACCCCCCAGACCTGTGCACAGGGTGGGGGCAGGCACAGGATGCTTGCTGTGGGATTGAGCTCCCCACCTTGCTGCCCTCCAGCCTAGCAGGTGTGACCTGGCACTGCAGGGAAGAGTAGGGCTGCGCAGGAAAGTTGCTTGCTGCTGCGAGCTATGTAGTGCCCTGGTGATGCATCCCCTACGTGCACAGCAGCACCGGAGCCAGGTGGTGGTGCAGGGTTGTGCCACTCACTGGTGCCACACACATGGGGGATGTCTCAAGGGCAGTGCAGAGCTCACAGCGGCAAGCAACTTTCCTATGTGGTCTCGCCCTTCCCTGCAGCGCTGCATCACACCTGCCCTGTGCACAGATCTGTGGGGTGTGGGTTCTCCCCGCCTCCCTGGGCATGTGCACAATGATGGGGAGCTAGCCCATCCTGCCGGAGCCTGTAGCAGAGGGGCGGGGCAGGGCTGATTTGTGCTTCACTGCAGCAGCTGCTGCCTCCTACTGGGGGCAGGGGGCTGCGGACCCAGGTCCCTGGCCCCATAGCCCTGGCAGCTGGGAGCCCCCTCTGGCAGGGCTGAGGGAGCAGGGGCTGTGTGTGGGGGGAGGGGGGAAGTGAGGGGCACCACCAGCAGGGCTGGGGGGGTGCAGAGTGAGGGGCACCAGCAGGGTCTGTGGAGGGGCCTTTCATCTTAATCATAGACTTGGTGGGGGCGGGAATCAGAATTTGTGACCTTTTTTTTTTTTTTTTTTTAAATTGGGGGGGGTGGGAAGCAGGATCCCTGCTCATGAGATGGGTGAAACACTAAAGGAGCACCAATATGAAATGTTATGTGGATTACGGAAAGCTTAAAAAGGCAACTTGAGAGAGAGATTATAGGGTTCTTGGTACTTATTCTGCAGGCATTTGTCTCAGCAGTTTCTTTAAATGTCAGCTGTTTAGTGCATTCACTGTAGTATTTGTCTATAGCTTCAGTAGTGTATTTGTACATAACCAAATTCTGGACCTATAGAAGTTGACTTGATTGCTGATGGTTTGGGTTTTTTTGTTTTTGTTTTTTTTTTTTTTTTAACCAGGATTTGACTTTGAGGCAGTAGCTTAGAGGTTGTAGAAAAATGGCATTTTATGTAGCTAGGTATAAATCTAGTTACAAAATGAATTGGTGATATTTGTTGGGGGGAGGGATAGGTGCCAGGTGTTGCCTGGTAGCTTGTCTTCCAGAATATTCTTTGAAAGAAGCAACATGGAAAGTAAGTTTTCTTAGGGACTAGGTGACTATTGTTGGAGTTCCAGCCTTGGACATTAAAACCCTGGGTTCAGTTCTTTGCCATGCTGTAGACCAGTGGTCACCAACCAGTAGATCTTGATCCACCGGTAGATCTTAGAGCCTCTTGGAGTCAATCTGAGGCTGGTGCGGGGGGCTGAGTGTCCACGTGTATGCATGTATATGCCCCAGCCCAGCAGATCAGTCCATGGGGGAGGGAAGGGTTAGGGGCTAGATCAAGGCCCCCATGGTCAGGGGCAGTGCTGCAGAGGCAGGAGCAGGGGTAAGCTGAGTGGGGCCCTGGCCAGGCAGGACTTGCTTGCTGGGGAGGTGTGCCCCCAAATAATTTTTTTCTCCTTCTGCCTCTATCCGCCCCTCCCTTCCCTCCCCACAGACTTAACTGCTGGATGGAGTGGAGGGGCAGGGTGGCAGTGCATGATAGATCTTGGGGTGCTTTTAAATGCCAAAGGTGATCCCCTACTTAAAAAGTTTGGAGGCTGCTGCTGTAGACTCCCTGTGTGACTTTGGGGTACATCTACATTGTCCAAGGTTGGCATTGCAGCTTGTACAGATATGTCTGAATTGGATATTAAACTGACTAGCTAAGGCACTAAGTGTAGTGTGGCTGTGGCCCAGGCTGACTTGTGCAACTGAAAGCAGTGTAGCTATGGCAGTGCAAAGTATGGCAGCCTGAGCTAGCTTGGCTGTATGAGCTGCAGTTGCATCTTTGTGTTGCATTTTAGAAATCCCATACTATCATGGTGTCTGCCTTCTCTGCCCACAGCAGTGGAATGATTTTTAAACTTTCATTGCAGTGTTGGTCATACAAATACAAAAGGGGGATCCGAAGTGCTCGGACAATGTTTATATGGCCATCTAACATGCCTCCTCTTTCTTCTTTGCCCCCTCCCCCCAACGTTGGTCTTATCTTTTGAGAGTAAATAATGACAATTATAACTTTTTTATTGGTAGGAGTAACTGAAATGCAGAAGTTGGGGGTTCCACTGGACCCATCAACTTTTCCATGCTCAAAATGTCTTTAGGACATTTTGAGCATACAAGTCTTTAGGCATACAAGTAACATCACACTTGTTCAATAACCCATTAAGAGAAAAGTGTTCTTGTTGATCCCATTATGAGGTAACAGTAAATGTTATGTAGCACTACCTGTTACAATCCTTTAACATGTGGGGTTTTGTTTTGTTTTGTTTTTCTTTGCCTTTTGTTTTTTGTTTTTTCTTTTCAGTGCACTTTGTTCACAGTGCAGTGTAGATCCAGAAATGAATTTCATTTTTCTAGCTATGAACTGTAATATGTTTTCACCAGGATTTTGTTCCTTGGTATCAAGACTTCAATTTCAATGTAGCCACTTAAACTAGCTCAAAAATATTTGGAAGAACCATTCAGCTTAATTGAATCATGTGCTTCTAAAGTGTCTCTTGACTAATGGGCCCCACTTTTTTTTTTTTAAAGATGCTAATAAAGTTGGTCTTTCAGCATACTTTGAGGTAAGCTAGTATTTATTTCTAGCTTGCATAAGGGAAACTTGAGCTCCAACCAAATTCTGATGGGTATTGAACATGAGTTGTTTCCTTAAATAAAACTTGAACTGAAACTGGATCTCAAGAAAGATTGGGGGATTTTTGGCTGTATAGTTGCGGAGCTCAGATGAAGAGCCTTCAAGTGTGAGGAGACTGTGGAAAGAGAATTATAGGAGCACTCAATCCAAGACCCTTGTTTATGGACTAGACCCTTGTCTACCAAGAAGTTCATTTTCTCCTCCCCCCCCCCCCCCCCCCCTTAAAAAAGTTGAACATACCATAGTTGCCAGTGGGGAAATGGAAATGTTGATTAATTATGCACCATATGTTGAAATTTCATTACTTAAGGGAATCTCTTCAGGTTTTTGTTGTGCTGTTTAGAATTGTATATGTAATACTCTGCCCTCAGCAATAAATCTGTCATCCGTAACTGACTGAAAAATGCACACCAATTATTAGTTCACTGCTTAACTTGCATCAATTAAGGAAAAACTTTCTGAGGCACAGTTTTGCCAATTTTGTGACTTCAGCTCTTGTGTTTGAGAGGAACTGTGTGTTCATAAGGCTAAGTATAAACTGCATGCTCAAGATATTACTTGATTAGCAAATAGCTGGCAAACCATGGAAGCACAACACAGTTTCCAAGCTCAGTATAATGTACAAGAGTCTTGGGAGGAAACAAAGGCTACTGTACGTGCAAAATCTCCTGTGCATTTTTCTCTATTTGGTATGGTTACCAACGGTTTATTCTGACAGTCAGCAGAAAACAAAGGTAACTGAAGGGCTCTGGTCAGAAGTGGAAGGGGTTTGAATTTATTCAAACCAGTGTTGTGAGCCTAGAAGTTGTCTAAAGCAGTGGGTAAAAAAAGTCTGTTTTTTACGTCTGGCTGCTTAAATTTACTGTTTGCTGACTTCAAAAACTTGGGCCTAAATGGAAGGGGTATATTGCTAAGAATCCTCATGTCTCTCATTTAATGAAACAAAATTTAGCATCTGGTTCATGCAGCAGGCAGGATGGTAGGGAAGCCATGTCATTTTTAACTGCATGACATTTTTTGATACACTGCATGATGATGCGCTTGGGAAGTGTGCAGTGCATGAGGATGGATGCTGAATGAAAGCTCGTTTGTACAATAGCTTGCTCTCTAGGCTTTGAACTGAATAAAGCAGTAGTCTTGGGGCAGGAGAATGGTGTCCAGCCATACCTCAGAGCTTGTCATGTAATGCAAATGCAAAACGACCAGGCTGGAGGATGTATGGCAGCTCTTATATTAATGTACTAACCTGAAAAGCCTGCTGAGCTTAAGCATAATTTTAGGTTAGAATCTTAACGCACTGGGCCAAGCTGGAATGTACTAGTTGTCTGCATAGGCTTACCCTCCTTCTCTATTTATTGTAACTAAATTATCTTAGTTAACTAACAGATCTGCATGAGTAACTTTTACATTTAATCAGTCTTATGTTTATGTAAGTTCAAACTTTAAAAAAAAAAATTTCATTAGTCCACTTGAGAACACCACTATTAGTTTCTGACTTTGTTTGATAACACTTCAGTGGCAGAATCCTGTAATTTCAGACTTCCTTGTTCCTTCAGGGCATAATCTAAATAGTTCCAGTATACCACTGTAAACAAGCTCAAGTTTGTTATTCATGGATTCATAACAGAAGGTGAACAGTAGCTTGGAAGAAGCAGAAGATTTAGCTTCTGCTTGAGAGAGAAACTTTAAAGGATGCTTATCTACTTGAGTTACTTTAAAGTTGGATTTTTTTTTTTTCCTGATGGAGCCCTCTTCAAATATATCCAGGATGTTTTAACAAGTTTTCCACTATTCTGCTGACTCGATCAAATTCTCAAGGTCTCCCTTTCCCTTTTTCTGAGCATCTGATTCTGCACTATTAAAAACCCAGGGGTGACTGGTGCCTCCTGAGTCGGGGGGGGGGGGGGGGGCGAG